CCATCCTTCTGCACTTCTTTTCCGCCTCCGCCTCCTCTAGGCTCCCGCGGCGCAGTGCCGCCCCCTGGCCCGGGCGGGGCGCCTCCGCTCCCCGCAGAGCCCTCCGTAGGGGGACGTTCCGTTCTAGCGGAGAAGCAGTCCCTGCGCTGGGCGAGAGGTGCCCAGGGAGCTGCCCATCCGAGGACCAGGGGATGCGAAGGGTAAGACCTGGCAGACTTGCATTTGGAAATACTTTTCCCTCTTCCCTCCCCCCGGGGACTGACCTGTGTGGTCCCCAAGGTCCATCCTAGAGTTCTTATTCCGCGTGAGCGAATCGTGCGTTCGTGTTTACTTCGCCGTGTAGCCCCCGCCTGTTACCTGTGGTCCGTGCTACTTCTGGAGGTTTCTACCATTTACGAGTTCCTGAATGTGTGTGCACCTGGCTCTCTGTGTACACTGATGTCTGTTTGTGGAAAATGTGTAATTGTGCATGATTGAAAAACAGGCGCTTGAGTTGGTGCTCAATGGCTATAAGCCATATCAGCAACTAAGTCTTCCCAGAGATATACATCCATCTCAGCATCAAACCCAGAAACCGTCTAAAGTAAATTATTAGATGTCATGTAAAGAAATGTATGTCAAATAATGAACTTTTTATACAGGAAAATATGCAGCTGCAGGAGCCACTCTTCTTTGAGGGAAAATAAATGGGCACGGAACTAATATCTAAATTTGAATGCTGATGGAACCATTTAACTCAGAAGTGGCCATTAGCTGAAAAAAGTTGATGTGCTTTTAAAAGACATTTCTTGCTAAGGCTCAGAACCATAAAAGGATCACCTCCTGAAGCAAATGTGTTTGCTGTGATAGACGTGAGAAACTGTCATTTGGTCATTTGAAAGTTTAGAAGCAACATGCATGTATCTAATTTTAGTTTTAAATTGAACAGATGAGAAAAAAATTAGTCACCTATTAATCATTTTGTCTCTCATCTCTTTTTTTCTAAAAAAATAAGTGTTATTGCCTTTGTTGTTGTTTTCTTGATACATTAAGCATACTCTGGCATTTAAAACAATAAAAGATTAGAATAGATATACTGGCTTAAAGGTGTTGAAAGATATTTCCGTGGGTCCCATAACTTCTCATTTTTATTACCAAGATAATATATTTTGAACAATGGGGGAAATGTAATTTCTTAGCAGAAATGGAGTGGACATTGAACATCAGTGGGATGCCCACCGCCATCAATCTATTTTGCAGAATATTGAGAAGCTCGGAGCAACCAACCTTTAAGGTTCCCATAGGACTTTATCTGATTTAAAGTGTTGCTTTTCTAATCCCACCCTGCTGACAGTTTACCAGGAAGATAGACTGATTGATTTCTCTTGGTCCCCCTCCCCCACTCTCCTAACTCAGTTATAGCAATTTTATCAAAATAAAAAGCCACGTATAGTTTCTTAAGTGAGACAGATTATTTTCTGATTATATCCATACATGAACAGTATCCAGGCACCTCCAGAATTTCAAACGTTGTATAGTGCAGGCAGTTATTTGTAGGCACAACAGCAGTTACCATAGTTGGGCAGGAGGCTTGAGGATAGACATGGTTTTAAAAAACTAATCCATTTTAGGTTATCAAAAGAACTTACTGTAAAAAGACTCTTTTTATTCCAAAGATGTCCTCACTCCAGGCAAGGAGCAGTCTTGGCGAAGGTATGTATCAAGTGTCTGATAGGGAGAAGTCTCATTGTGTTCCTAAGTCTCCGTAGGGGTACAATGATGCTGGGGCGGGGGGCGGGGGGCGGGGGGAGTGCTCAGTTCAGTTCTGACCTTTCAAAGATGAAATGACTATGCTTGCATACTCCTTATTAGGAAGGCAAATTAGATCTCATGCCCCCCACCCCGCTTGTAACAGACAGCAGCAGTAGATGTGCATACAAAAAGAATGTTATGCCTAGTCCCTTCAATAAACCATAGGTGATAGTATGTACATTGGTGTGTGAAGTTTTCCATTCTGGTGAAAATGCGATCTCACATTGGAGTAGTGCTGGGCTTTGTTTGTTATCCGCTGTTTTCTGTCTTTTTCTGTTACCCTTTTCCCAGTGGACTGCGAGCCTCCCCGTCTCGCCTGTGAGACTGTTCTTCTCTAATAAGCCTAGCTGCTGGATCAATGTGTTCTTTTTGGCATTTCAAAATGTTAAAATAGTGAAATTGTTAAGTGTTACCAAGATGAAACTGCTGGGAATAAAATTCTCCGGAAGAACCACTATATTTGTGGCATATTTCAGTCTATTCCAAAAGAAAACCCCTTGGATCGGTTTACCTGTTTTCTGAAGAAAGAAGCAGCCCCATTGATTAGTGTTGATAAGTGTTTAGTATGCAGTGTCAGCTTATTAATTACTAAGGCAAAGCCTGGAAAACTCTTTCAAAACAATGGTGTAACATTCTCCTCTTCTCTGCGTTGACTCCGAATTAACATGAACCACTAGGAAATTTAGACAGGCTTCTTGGTTGTCTGGCATATGAGTGCTTGGATTTAGAATTGAAATACTTGGATGTATAAGAATTAACTATTATGAAATGAAACAGCAGTTACAGTTCACCACGCTTACCAAATGTTTCTTTCCAGAAAACAGTTGGCCTAATAAGGAAGGGGATTATTTCTCATAATTAGCTCTCCAGGAATGCTGAAAAAAAAAAAAGTAATATATTGAATTTGGAAATCCCTAACAACACATGATGAAGAAAATGAGATTCGGTTGTAGCGTCATGAATTTGGTCAGTAAGATGGAGCCTAGTCTTTGGGTTGCTGCCTGTTGTTCCAGGGGGTAATTATGTTATTTCAATTGTGTGATGAGCACAGAGGAGAACTTTCATCCCTGTAAAAAAGGATGGTGTCTTCACCAGTGTAAGTCTGGCTCTTCTGTTTTTGTAGGCATCATTTTCTAATGGAACCAACCAAGTAGAATAAAACCAACATTGGGTTTAAGTAATTTATAATTCTGTTTTTGACTCTGAAACAACCTGGACCCAGTAGTGTTTGAAAAACTGCTGAGACCAGGCTTATATAGTGTATGTACATCTACATTGTGAGGGACAGCAAGCTCTGCTAATTTTTCTTTTCTTGACTGAAGATTGGTAGTGAAGTTAAAGAAATCAAAACCAATGAATGCACTTAACTTCATATTTCCCTCCTGAATCTCCAACTCTTTCCTAATCCTGTTCTTTAATAATGTTAAATTTGTATTATAACAGCCTGAATGCTGTTTTTGAGGGGAGTGGGGGATTCAACACTTTGCCACTGAACTGCTATTAAATGTTTTGATAGCAATTAATTAGATCAGATGAACTTTATAACAATTACAGATCAACTCAGATTTCTCTCAGATATATTCTAGACTAAAAGAAACGATAAATCTCATCCAGAATATGTACACTGCATAATTTTAGATGACTGGATATATCAACACATGTTTTTGCATAGGTATGAACAAACTTTTTCATAGATGTATATCTAGACCAAAAGAAAGTTAGACACTTTTCTTTTTATATTTGAACATATAATTTAGGTTTTAAATAAATATTATAGATTTGGGGAAGTGTCCAAATTTAGGGCAGCTGTGCAGATGGGCATTGAAGACTCAAGGCAAAAGGAACTATCCACCTTGAATCAAAACAAGGCTGTTCTTATTTTCCACCATAGTGGAATAGTGTTTCAGTCCCATGTGTTCTAAGAATCTTGCAAAGATGCCAGGATGGGCATAACCACATTTTACCAATCTTGCTGACTGTTTTTTTATTTTGGGGAAGAAAGTTGAAGGAAAGCTGGAAGAAAAGATACAAAGTTATTACTACATCACAAAATGCACATTAACATGATAATATAACAAATTATAATGCTATCACAAGTAAGTTACAGCTATAGGAAATTTGTAAGACCTGAGAAAGGGAGGATTATGTTCAGTGGTTTTCCAATGTCTATCTCTTGGTACTATTCAAATGGTTTGATGTTAGGTGAACTTCTCTCTCAATCAGGCCTTCATGGGTAATAGGTAAGCTAGGACATATCAGGAAGAATAGGTCAAAACTATTATATAAAGTAATCACTGTGAACTTCTAGTTCATAACATAAAATATTTGCCAAAAGTTTTCCTAGGTCATATTTCTTCAATGAACAGGGTATCTATCTCATTAAAAAAATGAAATATTACATTTCACTATAATAGTTTTTATAGGACAATTGCAATTACAAACATTTTGATCTAGTTTTCATTGAGATTTTCCATATAGATTATTGATGTGTAATGTTGGGATGTCCTCCAATTTAAAAGTTTCATTTGGACAGGTTAATTGCATAACTTAGTGACCATGGACTTCTTGAGGTTCATAGTTGTGTTTGTATAGGCTTTTAACGGAAAGATTTTATTCACCAAACCTGAGCAAATGGGCCTGGCAGAGTCATAGTAGTTGTTCCAGAATACTATGAATTCTGTTTTAGCCCCAGCTGGTAACATTCTCACACCTGCACTTGAGGAAAGCTTTCAAAGTTGTTCTTTGTTTGTTTTGTGTTCTTTTGTTTTTGAATATGTGAGTTGAGATGAGTCAGGTAGGAATCAATGTTTTTTAGCTAACTCTTTTTAACCCACTGTGCTATTGCATTATATTCTGTATTTTTTAGTAAGATTCGTAAAGTCGATTTTGTATTTTTTGAATGCAACAAGGGATGTAAGTTCCCCTTTTGCCTAACACAGATGGCAAATCATTTTTCCCTAAGAGTACAGTCTTTTATTATCTAATGTCTTATTTTTCTACTATAATTTACATTCATAATTGTTTAGCGTTTGGATTCGTTGAATAGAAATTTGATCTCTTTGGCTTGATTCCTTACCACCATTATCAATTCTGAATAGCATTTTAAATTGTTTCTTAATTTCAGGCGATAAAGTGCAGTATAGTTACCTGAATTTGATGGTGTAATAGCTATTTTTTATTCCTACTAGCAAATTCCATGCTATTGCTTTTTAAAGAAAAGCAGAGGCATTTTTCAAAGATGTGCCAGGCAATCTGTTGTGATAGTTGAATATACTGGCAAGTGCTTTCACAAACTGTGTATGTCAGTAGTATATTTAAATATAATTAAAATAACATATAATTAGGAAACAATGTTTGTCAAAGTTTAAGTTTAAATGGGAGGGTTCCCCTCTTTCCTTCATCATTTCTTCATTTGTTCTTTTAGACCATATATTTAGAGAAGAAAATTGGAATCAATATGATTTCTATGAAATAAGTTACAAGGAGTTTCACATTTAAATTGGTGATAAATTCCATTATGTTTTTAAAAAAACAAAATTCTACTTTCACATGTGGACATTTGTACTAGGAAACTTATAACATTGATTTCTGTTGGTCAGGAGGCTAAAAACGATGTTTTTAGTACAGCAAGTGAACCACCATTATAGATAGTATACCTTTGTCACTCTTGCTTGCTTTTAACTCAGCTATATTTAAAAATAAATCAATTTTATGTATTCTTTACAAAAGAGACTTAATTTAATGCCACTATGATCTGTGTATTTTGGTTTATTCCGGTGTGGGTTGTTAAATGGATAAGATTTTCAACTCATTTTAGTGCATTGCTACCAGAATTTTTAAATGTTTTCTCCAGTTTTGATGTAAGTTGTGGTGAGCAAGCAATATGCATGTCGAGAAAGAGCAAAACTAAACAACACATAACCAAAGTAAGCAAGAAATCATCCAAAGAATTCTGTATCTTTTGCATGTGTGAGAATTTGACTTTGGAAAATGTACAGCTGCTTTTGGAAATTATATCTAAATTCTTACAAATAAAAAAAGGAAATCTTTGAATGATTTCAGTCCTCAGCTATGGAAACTAACTTTGAGTAATCAATGGTCCATTTTTTATTGATGAAATAATCAGAGAGAGAACAGTCTGCCCAGAGTCATATATTTTAGTGCTTTGGGATACATTTCCATATATTTATAACTGGTAGATATTTTTGTAAGATACTTGCCATCTATAAGCAGTGTAAATTGCATAATTACCAGGATAATTCTGTAAGGTAATTTGCATTACTTGAGCCTCCTGCAAAATTTCCATTTCAGTTTGTCGTTTTCTGGGTTCATCTCCTGTGATACATTATTTTATGGTTCTGGGAAAAGAAGAACAGAAACAGAGATATTTCCATCTTTAAAAAAAACCCAGCTGGAATGCTAACTACTTTTGCTTTTTCCCTGTTCTTTTATGCGCAGGAACCATGGGTTCCCTCCCAATGGTGTTCAGCAGTGTTATAAAACTTTACATAGTCTTTGCCAATAGAATTAGGAGAAAATGGTGTTGAGTTCTTAATTTATGTCTGCATACTGGGTACTTACATATTATATCTTGAAGCCACTTTTCTTTGCTGGACAAGATATGTAACAGTAAGTTTCTTGAAACAGCATAGAGAAGCCCTGAATTGTAGGCTGAGAGGTTCCCCACTTGTGCTTATGTTTCTATTCCAGTCAAATAGAAAGCCTTGGTTTTAAAGATCAGTGAGTTTACTGTGGCCTTGTAGTATAGTTTGATATCAGGTAGCCTGATTTCTCCAACTTGATTCTTCTTTTTCAAGATGGCTGTGGCTATTTGGGGTCTTTTGTGGTTCCTAAAACAGCATGGTACTGGCATTAAAACAGACATATTCAATCAATAGAACAGAATAGAGAACCCAGAAATAAACCCACATCTTTATGGACAATTAATATTTGGCGAAGGAGGCAAGAACATACAATGAGGTAAAGGCAGTCTATTCTATAAATATTGTTGGGAAAACTGGACAGATACGTGCAAAAAAAAATGAAAGTAGACCACCACCTTACACCATACATAAGAATAAACTCAAAATGGATTAAAGACTTAAATGTTAGACTTGAAACCATAGAAATCCTAAAAGAAAACATAGGCAGTAAAATCTCATACATTTCTTGTAGCAATATTTTTTTCTGATATATTTCCTTGGGCAAGGGAAACAAATGGGACTAGAACAAACTACAAAGATTTGCACAGCAAAGGAAACCATCAACAAAATGAAAAGACAGCCCACTGAATGGAAGAAAGTATTTACCAATGATAAATCTGATAAGGGGTTAATTTCTGAAATTAATAAAAAACTTATAAAAACTCAGCACCAAAAAACCCCCACACAATTCAATTAAAAAATGGGCAAAGGACCTGAATGCACTTCTCCAAAGAGGACATATAGAGAGTCAGTAAACTTGAAAAAATGCTCAGCATCACTCAGCATCAGAGAAATGCACATTAAAACCACCATGAGATACCACCTCATATCTGTCAGAATGGCTTTCATCAGTAAATCAACGAACAAGTGTTGGTGAGAATGTGGAGAAAGAGGAACCCTTGTGCAGTGTTGGTGGAATGCAGATTGGTGCAGCCACTGTAGAAAATAGTATGGAGCTTCCTTAAAATTTTAAAAAATAAAACTGCTTTATGACCCTGCAATCCCACTTCTGGAAATACTATATCCTAACAATCCCGAAACAAACAGAAAGAATATATGCACACCTGTGTTTCATTGCAGTGCTATTTACAATAGCCAAGATTTAGAAATAGCCTAAGTGCCCATCAGTAGATGAGTGGATAAATAAACTGTGGTACATTTAGTCAATAGAATACTACTCAGCTATATATATTAAAAAAGCAGGAAATCTTACCTTTCAAGACAGTCTGGATGGATCTGGAGAGTATTATGCTAAATGAATTAAGTCAGTCAGAGAAAGACAACTACCATATGATTTCACTTATCTATGGAATCTAATAAACAAAATAAACTAACAAACAAAATAGAAGCAGACTCATAGATACTGAGAACAGACTGATAGCTGTCAGAGGGA